ACCAAAACCAAGATTATCGATCGGAGCGCGCCATCTGCGCCCAGCGTACGCGTCATGCGCCAGAGCGCGTATTGACGCTCTTCACACTGTCGGTGCGGTCGGCGCCGTCGGCACCGTCGGCACCGACCGCACCGATGCGAACTATGAAAGCAGCCTTAAGCACTGAGCATACTCAAAAAATCTACGGCCCTTGTCCTCACCTGTTTTGCACCGTGATCTGCAACGTTGAGTAGCCCCTAGCACAGTTTTAACAACGAATCTGGTGAAACAACTGTGGCGTCAAATGGTACCAGCGTCAAAAATGTATATCCTAATAATTTTTCGATTATAATTCCTCATAAAGGAAATCAGTAGTTTTTCAAGATTCCAGGGGGTAGCAATAGTGAAGTGCTGTGCCTATAATTGATCAGTGCAATTTTTGAAATATCCCTCATTGAGTAGAAGCTGTCTTTTACGGCCGACTAGATTTCTAAAATAAATCTGGCCAGGCTTCAAACTACTTGAATCGTTAACGTATCGAATCTGGTTTTTGTGCTTCAGTCAACTCAATAGTTGTGTCTCAGTTATTGTTTCTAATTCCTTAAGCCACAAATCCTAGACTTCCTTAAGCCACAAATCCTAGACAAGTTGTGGACCATGCTTGGAGCGATTTTCCCACCTTAAATTCCTCTCGTCACTCATTGCGAACGCTACTTATTTCCGTTTCCCAAAAAGCCAAGAATTAATGTGTGATCTGCAGTAATTGTGGATGTCTGTTGCGTTTCCCAGAGATCTTCTCAGTTGTTGAGTATGTAAGCGAATTTTTTCGGAAAATCTTTTATTATGCAAGATAAGTTTATGTTGCCTTGAAACGAGATTTGCTTTCATTTCCAGGTTCGATGGCTAAAAAAACAGTTCCCAGCGCTCCGTCCATACGGTGTGCAGGAAGAAGAGCCACCAAAACCTACCCAGTAAAGCCGTTCTCTTTCTTACAGCTCGGAATAGATACGTAGTACGTTTGATGCTGGTTTCGATTATCTTAGATGTTGTTCACGTTTTCATCAGAATGTTCATTCTTGTATTATTTTTGTGATTAACTCGGTGAACTGTTGTATCGTGATTTTGTTTTAAGTAATAAAGCGGTTCTTTCATGGCGTCTTGAAGTGGAAATATTTTCGGTTAGAAAGCCTCTCATACGATCAACAAGTACCTAGTAGCCCTTTTTCGAGTGAATGGATTTGCAGATGACCACAATTCGACCTTTCGACGTAATGGATATGCTGAAATTCAACAATGTGAACCTGGATAGTATGACTGAAACGGTAATCAACTTTGTTACACTATATACCAGCCTTTTTTTGTTCATAACTATCTAAAGCGCAATGTAAAGCAAAAATATATGGCGTTCCTGGCGCACTGTCGCTATGACTCGTGCTTTGGATTAAGCGGGATGTGCGATGAAATTGTCACGTGAAGGGGATATTTATCAGGGTAAATGATGAGAGTGTTTTGTTGAACATTTCTGGTCGATCAGGGGGTCAAATATGCACTACTGCGCTTGACTCGGGTCACGATGCAGTGTGAGCTGTAGCGGCCATTTGCTCTCGGCTACCGCGACATTGCTTTCTCAGCTTAAAATAGAAATGACTCTCCTTATGTTTCGGTATGCATACATGGGGGAACTCTCAGCTCTTTTTCATATGGTAGTATCTATTACAAAATGTTTTGTGCACAGCTGGTAATAAAAAAAATCATACATACACTAGATAATGATCTAAATACGAACAGATTATACTGCAGACCAATGACGCACAACGCGGTAGGAACATTTGCACAGCTTCGCTGTTGTATCAAAGACTTATGAATTTAAGTAGTGTTCAAAACTACCTGCTACTGTCGCTTAACTCATCTTGTACAACATCGCGCCCGACGCAAGGCCGAGAGTACATAATCGAGAGAAGAGAGCAGAGCTATCTCCAACAATCGGCGCACACATCTATGACTCAACCAGCTGAGGGTTTCGTGTATCCGCACCGCTGAAAGTGCACGAGTCAGAAGAAACTAATGCGCGCCTTAATCGCACAAATCCTGCTCCCAATGCGCTTTGACCAAGCGCGTTGCCCCTTCCCTTTAAGAAACCCATCTTTTCGGCCAGAGTAGCATCTCTTAGGGGCAGGCATGAAGAAACCTTAAGGACGGCTGAGAGACTTACAGAGTTTGAGTGCCAGGACTAAAGAATGGACAAGGACGAGAGACGAGACCCAGCTGGAGCATAGAGTCCGTAATCACGTTACAGCACTTTCGGTTGCGCCAGATTATCGTCGCCTTGGTCTTGGTGCTCGTATGATGCACACGCTTGAGCATATTTCTGAAATGTAGGTTATGGAGTGTTGTTCCACTCTTCTTAGACTGCAGTAGTGGTCGTCTATCTTGTCTTTAAAGGCTAAGATAGACAAATCTGTCGTAACCTTTGAAAGATGCGGCTGTTGAGTGTGCGTTTCCCTTGCTTTCTGCTGCGGGAAGATGCTAGTTAGCCATAAACTGCTGCAGGGCTTATAGGGAAGCTTCACAGTTCAGGCTACACTTCAGCCGGTATTAAGGTTGATTGTAGAATCGCAAAACTAGTTCATTTTGTTTGTAGGAGACTCTACTGATTATTTTGGTTACAAATTGCCTTACTTTTTGAGTTGTCCCAAATTTTCTGTTTTTTTTTTAACCATTTCAAACTACTGTGCGAATCAAGGTTTTCAAACTGTAAATGTTGCTATTAAGGAAGAAGGCTTACTTTGTGGACCTGTTTGTTCGTGTTTCGAATCACGTAGCGATTTCTATGTATAAAGCGCTGGGATATGTCGTGTACAGAGAAATCATAGATTATTATTCTGGGCCACGAGATGAGAACGCTTATGGTATGTTAACTGCCCTTTTCCCATTTTCTGTATTTTTTCATAAAGTCATTGTTTTGCCAATTTACTCGTGTAGCTATCTGATCTGATCGCTTTCATTCATTGTAATAACTGTTTTGTGAATAGGAGGATAGTGTTTTTGCTCATCCTCGTTAAATGAGCTTCAAGCCGATCAAAGAGACAAATCATTCAAACACTTTCGACTTAGAATGATCTTACGTTATTTTTTAACAGGGGCTAGACTTCAATGGTTGAATGAATGTTGATTAGTAATTTTATTCATCTGCTTTTAGATATGCGAAAAGCAATGTCTATGGATAAAGAAAAGAAAAGCGTAATACCATTACCTCATCCGGTTCACTCCAATGACATATGACTAGAGTACGAGGAGTCGTCGACTTCTTTGAGAGATCGACACTCCATTGCTCTTACCGATATACTATTATTGTTTTTCTCTGCAAATGATTTCATTATTGATAACATATCTATCGGGTATTGTAAATCTGTGTCGCTGATTAGTTTCGCCGTTGTAGTGTTCGTTTGTGTACTTGCGCTTTCAGTGAAGTGGTTCCTATGAGCGTTCCTTAATAAATTTTCCTCTCAAATCTCGTCGTACGTACTTTGTTGGTTGAATTCCCAAACGTACATTATGCAATATTTCGCCATAGTGGGAAAATGACGGCTGTTGAATGGTCGGCACTACCTAAAAGCTAGGACGACCGTAGGCTTACTCCTAGGTGGGCGAACCAACTACCTGAACTCTATCTTTTAAGCTGCCTCACTCGCCACTTTCGTCTGCGCTCTCTCGTTTTATCAGCGGCTTGACCACTGTGATCTCACACATTCAAACTTTTGCCACATTGTAGTTGGTTCACCCACCTTGGAGTAACTCCCCCACCTCCCTACAATGCTTAGTCCTAGCGCCAATGCTAGTGCTCTCATCTCCTTCGGGATCTGGAGCCGAGTCAGGTGCCGTTCTTTAATCGTCTGTGGTCTCCACCATTCGTGGTCAAGTAGTCCTTAAGATAAACTAATGGGTGGAGCGCTTTTGGAGCGGAGCGCTTTTCATGTACTGCTCTCGACCAGCGCACCATCCGTCGTGAACGCGCCTCGCCTCGCTTCCACGGCACCCCAAGCTACTGCTTTATGTGGCGCATACACGCAGTACTTTTTCCGATGCGCTCTTTCTTTATCGTAATCACTTCCTTTGAAGCATAAAAAGCAAAAAGCTCGTGTCCGATCATGTCCCTTGCCTTTGCTTCCACCAAGGATCTCGGTGCCATTTGAGTGCTTCATATCCTACACAATGGCCTGCGGAGGCCAGCCATGTGCAGTTCAGCAATTTTGTCCATCTTGACAAGTCTGGTACACAGAGGGATGGCAGGCTTGATCGACGTGTACGATCCAGGATCTGATGACCGTGCGGGTGGCGTGTGGCGCCTGCCAGCTCGTTACCTCCGTTCAACATAGTAGTTAGAGAAACCAACAAGAAGGCAAAACAGCGCATACAAAGCGCTAAAAACTTCATGGACTATTGTACCTCAGTTACTGCAGAGTCGCTGCGCGATCTTCCTAGAGGAAAGAGAGCATACAGCGCTTTAGTTACGACATGTTCTCACTAACTTGAAGAAGCGGATTTAACGACAGCAAATATGA